CCCTCAAACTGACAGACAGACCAAGCGAGTGGACCAAAGCCTGGAACAGTACCTACGGATGTATACGAATGAAGCGCAAGATAATTGGAGCTCTTTATTGCTGATGGCGCAAGTTGCCTATAACAACGCACCCCACTCGGCTACCAAGATCTCCCCCGCCTACGCTACACTAGCGTTCCATCCGAAGGCATTCCTGTCCACGACGCCGGCCGGGGTACACGACAGCCGCGCCGCAGCTTTCGTTCGGGATCACTGATTGTTGTACGATCACTGCCGGCGCGAGGTCGAAGCTGCGCGCGTCACATACACTCGCTCGTACGACGCCAAACACCGGGACCTCACACTGCAGGTGGGTGACCAGGTGCTTTTGAGGACCACCAACCTACAATTAGGCCAGCCCTCGAAAAAACTTGGTCCCAAACTTATTGGCCCATTCCCGGTCCAAGCAAGGGTTGGTCGATCGGCGTACCGCCTGCAACTGCCCGCACGCTACCGTTGCTGGCCGGTGTTTCACGTCAGCTTGCTCGAGCCAGTCCTTTCCACCACCAATCCACGATCTCGCCCTGCGCCGTGGCCGTCTGACGCGCGTCACCCAGTACAAGACGTCCGCGACGACACACAGGAATACCACGTCGACCGCATTGTATTGGCCCGTACCACGCCGCAAGGCCTTGAGTATCGCGTCCGATGGGCTGGGTACAGCAAAGCCGATGATACATGGGAGCCGGCAAGCCATCTGGATCGTGCACAGCAGGCCATTCACGAGTTCGAGACATCACACCCCCGAGCACCGCACAACTGATACCATTACACCCGCCGTTGTCAACGCCTGCCGCGCCCGCCCTTGCCACGCTTCTTACTGGCTTGCACTCGCCTCGCAACCTCCACAGTTGGGGAAGTAACCGCCGCCGCCGATCGAGTTGTACGCCCGGCTGATGGTCCGCCGCTGGTGGTCGCGGGGGTCGTCGCTGCTTTGGATCCCTTGCCTCGCGTCTCGACGGGCGGGGTGGCCAAGCTACTCTCCAGTTGGTCCACCTCCTCGTCGTCGTCCTCGTCGTTGAGCTCGATTGGAGCCGTCGGCGGCGCGCCGGTCTGGAAGGCGTCTCCGCGACGACCAACCACGTTCAAACCGTGAGAACGAGCAAGGAGCACGGCGTCGCCCGGCGCAGCGACGAGTTTGCCTTCCGAGTCTAGACCAGCCTCCCTGCCGCGATTCCAAGCCCGTACCCGCTGCGCGTAGCTGACATGACGCTCCGCGGTGAGAAGGCCAGGTTGCGCGACGTCGTTGTTCACCATGCAATACTTGGCGTACTGCGTCGTGTCCAGCTCGACCTGTTGATAGAGGCGTAGCGAGTCGTCCGACGAATGCATGAGCACGGTGCGCTCGGCGGTTTTGACGGCGTTCAGTAGTTTGAGCGGAGCGTGCCCCCTGGCGAGCACGGCAAGCAACGCGTTGGCCAACTGGTCGCGATGTTCAACGGC